AAAGTTGATTTTGATTACGTCTTACTTGGTGGTAAAACATTCAGCTGCTGGGATGGGAATACTTATCTGCACCTGACCAAGGGATGTACCCGCGATTATGATTATGATTATGTACCATTGCTGATTATGAAAAAACACATACACAAAATTATTAAGTGTACAATTGCAAATCAAAAGTGCAATATTTTGTACTTGGGTTTACCTCCCTCGAAACGAAGCACCCGTGATACCGAACCCAGTCAGAGAGGGTGGGTGTGCACTCAAATGTAACGAAGGCCTTTCATTGGCTGGTTCATTTGCCGTTGCCCTCACGGCTCAAATGAGTGTGGGTATATAGAGATGTTGGGTTTTGTAAATACATGCTCATTTTTTGTGTATAACATTTTACAATAACAAGTCATGTGTACAAGTATCACATCTGCCTGGGGTTATAGCTAAAACTGCACCACAGCAGAACGGCACCAAATTTGTTTGGCGAAAACGGCACCATATTGATGAAAACGGCTACTGATTTCTGGGCTAAACGGCACCATATATAAAACACAGTATATCGTTGACTTATGTTTTATTTCATATCATTATAACATTAGCAAGATTATATCAACATATGAGTCATTCTCAAAATCCGTGCATATTTATGTCAGATGTTTGTATCCGACAAACTTAAGCCTTAAACTTATCCCAGTATCTTCTACACTTTACAGTAACACAATTAGGCACAATTTATTTTTATATTTACTTTACACCACCCAAATTTTACTCAATGTTCATGTGTCACAACTCCAGTGGCTGATGTCACAGATGTGGCATTTGAATTTTGATTTCAGATGAGTAAATGTACTTAAAACATCAAAGGTTGCGATGTTTTCACGCTAAATTGGGATGCCCTTTCCAATCACTGTCGGCACAGTAGATGTATTTACTATCTAAACATTCTGCAATCCGATTATCAGCTATGGATGCCAATTTGCAATCACTGTCGGCACAGTAGATATATTTGGTTTTAAACACATTTTTATTTCGTCAAAGAAACCTGGATAGGCGAACAAGCCTAGTGGCTTATATAGACGCAACTCCAGTACATTGTTCCAATAGCTGGATACATAATTGAAATAATTTGACAACAAAAGAAAAATACTGACAAAATAACAGATAAATGATTGAATAATAAATATGTTCGATATGGTGTTGGTTATGCCCAGCAACGAAATGAGCAGCCGCAGAAAATCAAGTTATATAAAACTTGCCATACATTGAATATATATACGTAGAGTTGATAATTACTGGAAGCGGTTACTTTTAGAAATGCGCCGTTACCGTCTAAAGTAGTTTTCACATCGTATCCTTGAATATAAAAATACATCCTTGTTCTTAATTTTTGATAGTTCCGACATAATAGTAGATGTATATACTGTCTGCAATCCGATTATCTTATAACAAACTAGTTTTTCCCATAAGATTTTAGTTGGTGCCGTTTCGCCATAAGATTTGTAGCCGTCTTCGCCAAGTCGAGGTTCCGTTATGTCCAGTTGGTTCCGTTTTCTCCAGGTGCCGTTTTGCTGTGGTCGGGTGACGTTTTAGCCTGAACCCTCTGCCTGTCTGTGTACATAATACCAGAGCTACAGATAACTTTTTGGGTCATTGAGTTATGTTCTCGCTTGTGTTCATCTCAATTGGGTATCCTAATTTTCCTTTGAGTAACCAAATACATTGTACTCATCTCACTCAAAGTCAATTGGGTATTTTGCCATTTTCCAATAATTTAAAAATATAATAAAGTTTAAATTTGAGTGTTTTTTATTTATATTTGATCTGTAATATGAGAAGCGATAAGAAAAACTGCAAGTTGTCAAGTTTATATCCTGAAATAGAACCTCTCGGTATACCTCAGTTACAGTATCTATCCACCGGTACGCATATTAAGATTTGACATTTTTGTGTGTACGCGTGTAAGATCACATTTATTGAGTATTTACAAAAATTCAAGCGTACTTGTACGCAATAGACTTAATAGGAATTGAGTTTTCACATAAATATTTGCGTAATTTACGCAGATACGCAGCTTATCTGTACCTCTGTAATACATAATGTGACAGAGACCGAACTCGGGTGCACGAGCCATAAATCAATGCGTTTTGTTTATGGCGTATAGCCTGATAGGTGTTAAGTTCTAATTGCATGTGGTCAGTAATCGAAGTTGCATACTGTCATTAGCAGACACATAGGTGTCAATAAAACAGACATTGAGTTTTGTCTGTGACAGAGGCATATCTATATCACAGTTAGACATTCTGTTATTGCAAAATAATCACATTGATTTTAAGTATCGAACTGAGAAAGTGTCTCGGTAAGAAGAACGTGTTGTGAAATAGACAAATGAAATTATATAAACAGCTGAATCGGTAATCTACTGTCATAACATATAAAAAGCTCGCGCCTGTGAAATATCAACAAAACATTAGTAAAATAGCTCACACCAAAGCCTTCATCGAGTATTCACCGCCAGCGAAGTTTTTCCGTCTTGAAATGTCGAACGCCTCACTGGTTGACACATATCTGAGTAGATCTAGATCCTACCAAGGTTCTTTTTATGTAATGAGTAGATTATTTTACTATTTGTTTTGATTAGACTACTCCTGCTCACGGTCTTATCATTCGGACATCCTGCCTCCAAGCTGCGCGAACCTATTCACTGCGCATGCGCAATGAGCGCAGTCCAGCACAGCTGTTGAAAGAACTTTTCACCTGAAGCTGGTGAAATTAGCGAATCGTTTAAACTTCGATTTCGCGGGGTTTTGTTTTATCGCGTTATGTTTCAACTTTATAAGTTGAATTTGCATTTTTGATGATTTGTATCTGAAAGTCTATACCGACACATGCCATCATGTCTCAACTGCCTAGAGCGATGCTCATATCAGTCACTGGATTGTCTGGTCCAGCCCTCCAACATATACCCGGAATATTGCTGAGTGCGGCGTTAAACAACAAACAAGCAAAACAACGCCCCTCAAACACAATTCTCCCACAAAGTTTCAGACCTTATCAAAATGTGCGTCAGAGAAAGAAAATATCTAGGGTTAGTTTATTTATGTACAGTGGAAACCGCCTAAGTAAAGACCGCTTAACTAAACAGACCTGATAAGTAAACACTTTTCTTTGGTCCCGGCAAATGTCTTAATTAATTATCACTATTAGAGTCTGGTTAACTATATGACCGAAAACTTAAAGGTCACATGGAACCAAAAATCAAACATAATTAAAACACAATTATCACTTCTTCATGACATATAATATGCATTGCTGATTATGAAAAAACAAATAAACAAAATTATAAGCGTATAATCGCAAATCAAAAGTGCAATATTTTGTACTTGGGTTTACCTCCCTCGAAACGCAGCAGCCGGGATACCGAACCCAGTCAGAGCCGGTGGGTGTGCACTCAAGTGTAACGGCTGGTTCATTAGCAGATGCCGCCTTCACGGCTCATTGTGTGTGTATATATAGAGATGTTGGGTTTTGTAAATACATGCTCATTTTTTGTGTATAACATTTTGCAATTAACAGACATCATAACATGTCATGTGTTCAAGTATCACACCTCTCTGTTTGTGTAATTACATAATGTGACAGACACCGAACTCGGGCCATAAATCAATGCGTTTTGTTTATGGTGTATAGCCTGATTGGTGTTAAGTTCAAATTGCATGTGGTCAGTGATCACAGTTGTGTATTGAATATTGTCATTAGCAGACAGGCAGGTAGACACACATGGTGTCAATAAAACAAGACATTGAGTTTTGTCTGTGACAGCGACATATCTATATCACAGTTAGAAATTGTGTCAACTCTAAATAATGACATTGCTTTTAAGCATCGAACTGAGAAAGTGACTCGGTAAGAAGAACGTGTGGTGAAATAGACAAATGAAATCATATAAACAATTTATTTACTGTCATAACATACAAAAGCTCGCGCCTGTGAGATATCAACAAAACATTATGAAAATAGCTCACACTAAAGCCTTCAACGAGTATTCACCAGACAGCCCGCTTCCAAGTTTTCGCGAACCTATTTCACTGCGCACGTGCTATGAGCGCAGCCCAGCTGTTGAAACCCGTATTCCCAGAAAAGTCTGGGGAAAATTAGTGAAACGTTTGAACTCCGATTTCGCGCGTTTGTTTTCATCGCGTTATTTTTCAACTTTATGAGTTGAATTTGCATTTTTGACGCTTTATTTCGGTAAGTCAATACCGAAAGGTATCAGAATCTGCAAAGTTGTGTTTTACGTTGCTTGTGACCTTTAAGTCGAAAAAACCCCGAAGAAAACTATTTTTATATAACCGACTGAAACGTTAATCCATGAAGATTGAGTGTGTGAGTGAGCTTAGTTTTAGCCGCTTTGATCAACATTCCAGCAATATCAATGTGGGAATCGAGCCCGGGTCTTTGGCGTCATTTAACCACTAGGATTCCCTACTGCCCCTTGAACACAGAACAATGAACAGCGGATGACTGTGTTGTTCTATACAGGTGATACAGTAACCCTGTGATCTAGCCAGCAGTGTGCGGCAGTGTAACACTTGGCACAGAAAACAGCTGGTCACGACCACAACACCGTGACGTCATCAACAATGTGACGTCACTGTACATTTGGCGCCAGTCTGAGGTCACAGAGTGCAGCGAGATGTACACAAACAGTTTGTTGTTGTCTGCCTCACGATTACTGAGAAAATTATGACACATAATTAAAACAGAACTACATGACGAGATGCGGGGTTCATGTACCGACGATGTACCATCAATATTTACAGTAACCAATATCCTTACCTGATTCTGTAAAGTTCCATAAACAACAAAATGTCTGAAAATGTTCTCAACAAGTTTTATTTCTCCTCAAACACAACAAATATTCTCACCTTCATACTGAATTATAAACAACGCGACGACGTGAACGGCATGCACAACGTCAGTGTCAGTAACGACATGTCCTCCATCACTGTCTACATCAACACTACATTCACTTCACTGTGTACCACGTGACACCAGGAGATCCGACAGCTGACGATGTCCACAGTCTCGCCGCGTCGGCCGCTGTCTGCCTGTAGTTGTTCCTGACGTTGACGTCCACCCCGTCCAGAGACAGCACAAACTCCACTGTCTTCCTGTCTCCTCCTCATACACGCGTAGTGAAGGGTGTTGTTACCGTCATCGTCCACCAGTGACACATCAGCACCTCGACTCACAAGGAGCTCCACCACATCCCTGTGTCCCCACAGTGCTGCCCACATCACCGGTGTCCTCCCGTCCACATCTCTACAGTTGACGTCAGCCCGACCTGTGTCCAGGATCCGCTTCACCTCCGCCAGGTTCCCCTCCCTGCAGGCGGCATAGAGGTCGGCGTCTGCCCGGGCGTCTCTCCGTGCGGGTGTCGGTGTCGCTGTAACACAAAGTAAACTCTGTACACAGGTCGGACATCTTCATCTTACAGCTACATTGTTCACATCTTACACTGATGATACAAAACACTTGTACATTATCTATACATGCAGTATGGCTGACAGCAACATGGCGGGTGTACAGGGAATCACAAGAACTACAGCAACATGGCGGGTGTACAGGGAATCACAAGAACTGACAGCAACATGGCGGGTGTACAGGGAATCACAAGAACGGACAGCAACATGGCGGGTGTACAGGGAATCACAAGAACGGACAGCAACATGGCGGGTGTACAGGGAATCACAAGAACGGACAGCAACATGGCGGGTGTACAGGGAATCACAAGAACGGACAGCAACATGGCGGGTGTACAGGGAATCACAAGAACTGACAGCAACATGGCGGGTGTACAGGGAATCACAAGAACTGACAGCAACATGGCGGGTGTACAGGGAATCACAAGAACTGACAGCAACATGGCGGGTGTGCAGTATAGCTGACAGCAACATGCCGGGTGTGCAGTATAGCTGACAGCAACATGGCGGGTGTGCAGTATAGCTGACAGCAACATGGCGGGTGTACAGGGAATGACAAGAACTAGTTGATGTTTTACACGTTGGTTATTTACATGAATAGAATGTTATCTAACAGTTCTAACACAGTTTTGTGTGTGTGGAGAGTGGTCTGCCAACTACAACAAACGTGACATTGTCTCCACTCCACCTCGTGTGCCAGGTCTGCAGGGGGTTCCAGACTTCAGTGTGTCCCCCTCTGGTCGTGGCTGTGGAGACAAACAGGAGGGTTAGAATAAACACTAGATTCATTACATTACATTCTCAGAGTTGTGTTCTTGTTTACATTTATCACCGAAGATGTCACATTACAGATATATAAGATATACATCAATAAGCTGGAATGCATAGAGTTAATTTCTATAAAGGGATAGCTTTTAAAAGCCACACAGCTTTCCGGTAGATATCACTGGGATTGTTTTTAGAAAGGACAAAGCTTTCTGGCAGATCTGATAACCTGATACCATGTATACTCAGTGCGACGTGCGACTATCACATCTGGTACACAATATCCTCCCACCTACCGGGTACATCAGACTCTGTGGAGGTCCAGGTCTCCGTGCTTCCATCTCGCTCCAGGCTGCAACACAGAATATGTCATGTAGAAGACTTCAACACAGAATATATGTCATGTAGAACACTTCAACACAGAATATGTCATGTAGAACACCTCAACATAGAATATATGTCATGTAGAAGACTTCAACACAGAATATGTCATGTGGAAGACTTCAACACAGAATATGTCATGTAGAACACTTCAACACAGAATATATGTCATGTAGAACACTTCAACACACAATAGGTCATGAAGAACACTTAAACACAGAATATATGTCATGTAGAACACTTCAACACAGAATATATGTCATGTAGAACACTTCAACATAGAATATATGTCATGTAGAACACTTCAACACAGAATATATGTCATGTAGAACACTTCAACACAGAATATATATGTCATGTAGAAGACTTCAACACAGAATATGTCATGTCGATGACTTCAACACAGAATATGTCATGTAGAATAATTCAACACATAATATGTCATGTGGAAGACTTCAACACAGAATATGTCACGTAGAAGACTTCAACACAGAATATGTCATGTCGATGACTTCAACACAGCTTCGGGATCTGACTTGGAAATAACTACAACAATGCCGGGAGTCTTAACACGTTTGACGTAGAGTGGGTATTACTGTGTATAGCGGTATTATTGTGCATAGTGGTATTGTTGAGTATGGTGGCATTATTTGTGTATGGTGGTATTGTTGTGTATGGTGGTATTATTGTGTATGGTGGTATTGTGTATGGTGGTATTATTGTGTATGGTGGTATTATTGTGTATGGTGGTATTATTGTGTATGGTGGTATTATTGTGTATGGTGGTATTATTGTGTAAGGTGGTATTATTGTGTATGGTGGCATTATTGTGCATAGTGGTATTATTGTGTAAGGTTGTATAGTTGTGTATGGTGGTATTATTGTGTAAGGTGGCATTGTTGTGTATGGTGGTATTGTTGTGTATGGTGGTATTATTGTGTATGGTGGTATAGTTGTGTATGGTGGTATTATTGTGTAAGGTGGTATTGTTGTGTATGGTGGTATTGTTGTGTATGGTGGTATTACTCGTGTAAGGTGGTATAGCTGTGTATGGTGGTATTATTGTGTATGGTGGCATTATTGTGTATGGTGGCATTTGTTGCATAGTGGTATTATTGTGTAAGGTTGTATAGTTGTGTATGGTGGTATTATTGTGTAGGTGGTATTGTTGTGTATGGTGGTATTTGTTGTGTATGGTGGTATTGTTTTGTATGGTGGGTATTATTGTGTATGGTGGTATAGTTGTGTATGGTGGCATTGTTGTGTATGGTGGTATTATTGTGTATGGTGGTATTATTGTGTAGAGGTGGTGGTACAGTTGTGTATGGTGGTATTAGATGGTCATGAGGGATGGTTCTAAATTCTTTGTGCCTCAAGGCCGCAACATTGTTGTTGTTTCATAACCTGTGATTCCCATCGATTCAGATTGTTAAGTTAAAACATATTGTAAGGGTATTTGTTAAGAAAGACCTATAAAAAGAAAATATGTATGTTCCGGGAATCATTTCTTTCTAACAAATTCACCTAAAATGACATCATACATCAACTTATATATTATGTTGTACGCTACCTTGGCTATCTGCCTTCTTCCCTGTGACAGGACCTGGAAATATAACAAAACAAACATCCAATCAGCTGTCAATTACGTTCATTTATGTGTATGACATATATCGTTCCAATCTCCCTTCACGGCAATCTCCTGACAAAGACTCTTACATCTGGCAGTGAGTGGTTTCGATTCTAGTAGAATGGTGTTCGTGAACTCGGAGATTTAGTACTG